CCTCCACTCAAGGGTGAAATACCACCTAGGGTGTGTTTCTCCTTTCCTTAGTCCAACAATCATTTAATTAATATCCTAATTAACATCTTAATTCTACTTCTTAATATTAGTTATTTTGTATGGACACAGTAAGAGATACTTGTAGGGGGACTCTCTTGGGGACATCTTGCTATAGATACCAGACTGCAGTGCTCAAGCCAGTTTAATCTTTCCTAACTCTAACAGGGTCCTAATCAAGTTGTTACTTTTTGGATCATGACAGAATTTGTCCATGACCATCACGATCACGATCACGACCATCCTGTTGTTCGTCGATTGCCTCGAGCAGGCCCCAGTAACGTCTCCTTCATCCTAGCCCTGAGATTTTTGTTTTTTTAAAGTGCCATATTCAAGGCTCTTTCAGGGGTAGGAGAATGAGACCCATTATTGTTACTGGTATTTGGCATATTGGGTATACCATGGGGAGTTTGCCAGACTCTGCCATATGAGCAGGTTACATTCGGTAGCCTGCCAGTTTGTCCAAAGTAGGCATGAGATGATAAGATGTCGCGCGGCCGGCCACAAATGCGGCTGCACGCTTCCAGGAGCTGAGTGTGATAATCTCTGGATCCCGGCCACTGATGGGGTTACACGGCAGTTGGTGGGTGTAACTGTCTAGCTACTGTCAGGTCCAGTCCCAGACCGTGCAGGCTTGGAGATCTCAGCCCCGGGTCCCACACACCTGGGTTCCTCTGCCAGTTCTTTTATGCGTGAGGCTCATCCAAGTGTGTGGAGTGTGGTCCCAGCATGGCCTTGGCTGGGGCCCAGAGGTCTTCAGCTGTTGGGCCCTGGTGGAGACAGTCAGGCACAGGGTAGGAGACTCTGCCTTGTTCTCTCCCGGGAGCTGAGTGTGATAATCTCTGGATCCTGGCCGTTGTTAGGGTTACACGGCATGACCATGCTCTTAACTTATAGTTAAGTATTATGGCTGTTTGTCCTGGCCCATTTCGATGCCAGGGTAGCTCACAGCTTTCCCTGGGTCCATCCAGTCCCTCATCAGGACCCTGGTTTTGGGGTTCTAGGAAGTAAGGGCAACTGAGGCTAAAGTCAAGAGAACAGGTGCCCTGTAGTAAATATTATTTGGAGTCAGTTAACTCCCAAGTTACAAAAACATAGCATTAACTGTCCTGTCTTCCTCTGTCTTTACAAAAGGACATTGCTCTGAAATAACTATGCAAAGAACTTAAAGAGAAGAGAAAAGCAATATGTACAAGTTAACAGAGTCTGATTAGGAGATAAAGGTGGTTGACCCATTGAGGAAGCAGAGCACAAAGAAAGAGGTTACAAGTAAACACAGGAATGGGAGCACTGTGATGGGCGTAACCCAGTAAACCTCTGTGGCAACACAGAAAGGACAAACTAATGTTATCCTACAAAAGAAATAAATTATATAAAAAGGACTGTCAATAAGATTTACAACAGATTTACCAAATGAAACCCTCTGGGCCCAAAGACCATCATGGGGTATAGAAAGAAAAAAGAACTCAATTAAATGAATGCCCCACCAACAGTACTTTATCCAGTCAGACTCTTACTCAGATTTGAAGAAATGATACATAACTAAATGGATAAAATATCTCTGTATGAAGAACCAAAGGGGCTACTTTAAAGTAAGATGAATCCCACAAATACACCAAACTCCAGAAAAAAAGATGGCACAAAAATCCATGACAATAATCTTTCTCAATGTCATCAATGTCATCATGGGCTGGAGCGATAGCACAGCGGTAGGGCGTTTGCCTTGCATGCAGCCAACATGGCCGACACGAGTTCGATTCCTCCGCCCCTCTCAGAGAGCCCGGCAAGCAACCGAGAGTATCTTGCCCGCACGGCAGAGCCTGGCAAGCTCCCCGTGACGTATTCAATAAGCCAGACACAGTAACAACAAAGTCTCCAATGGAGACGTTACTGGGCCCGCTCGAGCAAATCGATGATCAACGGGAGGGCCTTTACTTACTACTTAATGTCATCAGGCTTAATGTGCCAATTAAGAGACCCAGAGTGGCTAGATGGATTATAAAATTGAACCCAACATTCTTCTGCATGCAAGAAACACATTTGAATAATAGCAAAAACTGACTAAAAGTCAAAGTTTGAAACATAATTCCTCAAACAAAAAAAAAAACTCTCTTAGAAAGACTGTAGGGGGGCTGGTAGGGGAGCATACTAGAATTTGACAAGGTATACTTTAGCTCAGAAAGGTTAAAAGTGACAGAATGGGTCATTTTGATGTTGGTGGGCCCCACGGGTGACTTATGTGAAGTGGGGAGGAGAAAGATAGTCACTTTCTCCCTACCCGCCTCTGCCACCCGGGACCCAGGGTTACTGGGTTCTTGTCTTGCCTCGCAGAAAGGAATTTCAGGAGTAGACAAGCAGTGAAGTAAATAGATTTTATTTGGAGGATTTTTAGGTGCGGGGGGGAGGGGAGAGAGAGAGAGAGAGAGAGAGAGAGAGAGTAAAGTTAGATACGAAAGCATGAAAGTCCACATCTCAAGAGGGGAGATGTGGGCGACACATGTGCTCGGGCACCACATGTGCTCCCCCACGTGGACTTAAGCAGCACATGGGCTCAGGCAGCATATGCGCGCCCTTCCTTTGTTCAAGGTGGCCTTTATAAGGTTTCTCCAGCCTGTCCCCACGTGAGGCCTCTTTCCAGGTAAAAGTCCATTGCTAAGGAGGTTACCAGGGAGGTCCAAAAAGAGGAATTTCATGGGGAGGCCTGTATCCTGAGGTCTGCAGATGGTTTTATCAGGCCTTTGTTTTCTGTATCCACAAGGTGGGTCATTCCTAGAATTCTTCTTCCATGAAACTTTGTTTCATTGCAAAGAGCCTTTCCCTATCTACCTGCCTACATCAATTTCTTAATGATCAAGGGATGCATACATCAGGAAGAACTCATACTCCTAAACATATATGCACTTATTGATGAACAAGCAAAATATTTAAAATAATGCTAATAGACTTGAAGAAAGACATTGATAGGAACATAACAGTAGTTGGAGACTTCAACATCGCTCTGTCACACCTCAATAGATCAACTAGATTAAAGCTCTGTAAGGAAATACTTTCAAGGAAGAAATGGAAGATAATGATTTTATTTATATATATATATATATGAAACCATTGTCTTCCATATATATGTTACACACATATATATACATATACACACACATATATTATATATATATATATGTATGTAGGTATGTATTCTGGGACACAAGTTAGACGACCAGGGAGCGTGGTCTCATAAGCATGGCTGCTAGTTAATCTTCCAATCATATCCCATTAGGACCACTAATTAGCTCTTATTTGATACTAACTAGGGCAGCCTGACCACCCTAACCACATTAGACCAATAGTCCATTAGGCCCCTACTCCAATCAACATTCAACAAAAAAAAACTACAGTAAGCACAAGAATCCAAACTTCAAAGGTCAACAATGGCAAAGCAATGCAAAACCCACCAGGCTTAGTGAGTGAAGATGATAGCCCACATGACCCAACCAATAATGATGAGCAATATAAACTGTCTTACAAGGAATTTAGAATGGAGCTGTTAAGTATACATAAAGAGCTTAAAGAAACAATGGAAATCATTGCCAATAAAATACAAAAGGATTGAGAGCAAAAATGAGGAAAATACAAATGAACATACATGTTAAAAGTTGGTGAAGTGTTATGTATGAAACCTTATCAGCAACAGTATTGTAAACAACAGTGCAAAAACTTAACCATAAAAAGAGATCCTCTAATAGAAGCAGACTAGTGAGTGGGAGGCAAATGTGTGAGTGGAGGGGGCATGGGGAGGGGGGAGCGTTGGAAAGTGGACACTGATGAAGTGATCTGTGTTGAAACATTGTATGCCTGAAACCCAATCACGAATAACTTTGTTATTTCATAATAACTAAATTAAACAGAAATATGAAAAAAGAGAGTAGACACTGGATTGGATAGGCAGATGCATAGGGGGAATGAAAAGCTTGACAAACTTCTATCAGCCTGAGATTGCCCAATAGGGGAGACCCATCTTGGACATAAGTAGCCTGACTCAAGCACAGTGGGTCTAGCTCAGCCACCCTCAGAGGAGTGTGAACTTGAGGGAAGTGGAGATGGGCCCTGAGGGCTCGTAAGAAAGCTATTAAGTAACCACATTTCCCTTCAGAGCTACTCTGAGGGCTGATATAGGCAATACTTCTTATCTGTCACAGACAGTAAATAATATTTAATCAGTTTGAATTCCACCAAAATTATGCCTAAAACTAAGGTCTGATGAAGAATTATTTATGCTAGCACTCCTTGTCTCACATACTTAGTATTTTCTAGGATCACCTCCTAAACAAACTTAAGCAAAAATCCTTGTTCCAGAGTTTGCTTTTAAGTGAATCTAAGACACTGACAAAAGCAAACAAGTTATGAGTAAAGACACTACTAATATTTTTAATTCTTAATTAAGTAGTTCTTCTTATTTGTCCCTTCAGTCAAGATGGGCTTTCCAAACTCAACATGGGCTTTCCAAACTCGCCCGCATGGCAAAGCTTGGCAAGCTACCCATGACGTATTCAACATGCCAAATACAGTAACAAGAAGTCTCACGATGGAGACATTACTGGGCCTGCTCGAGCAAATCGATGAATAACGGGAGGACAGTGCTGATAAAATTTATGAATTTTCAATTACAGTGTTTTTTTTTCCCACTGTTGAATCACTGAATCTACTACTTTTTACTGCTCTGTGTCAGGCACATGGGTAAGCACTTTATGAATGTCTTACTGTTGAAAATTTTTGGATATCATTGGTCCAGTTATATGTCTGTGTGAAAGACAATAAAGAAGGTGGATAGACCTTGAAGAATTTCTTGAAGAATTTCTCTTTTTCATGTAGGAAAACTCAAACCCCTAGAGAAGTTATATATTTTTCAAAAGAACTCTTGCTCATATTTTCTTTCTTTTCTCCTTTTCCAGAGATTGGTACCCGTGGAAATGGTCATAGTTGGCAAATTCCCATTCATTTTAATGACTTCAGAATTTTAAATAATAATGAAAACCTGCTTTGTCAAATCCTTAAGACGAAGTTTGAGTGTCAGTCTACTTTGGTTTCTCCAGCCCATGAAGGTGGCAGCAGTAACTCTCTGCAAGTATACAGGAAATTGCTGGCTCCTGGACTAGAATTATCTGTCTGGAAGGGTGACCTTACCAGGCATGCTGTTGATGCCATCGTGAATGCAGCCAATGAACACCTTTTGCATGGTGGAGGCCTGGCTTGTGCCCTGGTGAAAGCTGGTGGCTATGAAATCCAAGCGGAAAGTAATGCATACATTTCCAAATATGGTGAATTGGCAGTTGGTGAGATAGCTGTCACACATCCAGGGAAGCTTCCTTGCAAATACATTATCCATGCTGTTGGGCCTCAATGGCAGACGCTAAAGAAAGAGCAATGTATTAGTTTGCTGCAGAAAGCCATTACAAATATTCTGAATCAGGTCACAGTCTCTGCTGACATAGACACAGTAGCAATTCCAGCATTAAGCTCTGGAATTTTCAGATTCCCTCTGATTTTGTGTACTGAGATTATTGTGAAAACTATCAGGACCTATTTCCAAAAGAAGCAACTGGCTGGTAATTTGAAAGAAATTCACCTGGTAAGCAATGAGGATGCTACTGTTGATGCCTTTAAAAGACAATCAGAATCCATCCTAGGAAGTAACGAGCTGGGATCCTGGGTTCCTAAAGAAGCAATGACTCCTTTCAGCAAAATGACTGTGAACAATCTAACTCTCCAGGTTGTCCAGGGCTACATTGAATTGCAGGAGGTGAGTCTTTATTCCTCCTCTTTTGTACTGCTAAAGGCGACCTCTGAACTGTTAATTTCCTACCAGATATGTTTACAGTATATAACACTTCAAACATGGTTTTAGAAAGCATCATTGTTAAGGTCATGAGTGTGGAGTTCAGAAATTGTCATCTGAATTCAGATATAAGCTTTGCTATTGACTGAGTTACTTTTTATCCTGGTTTTCCTATTCCTCATCAGTAAATTTTTCCCACTTTATTTAAATACCATGGTTTACAAAGTGGTTTATGATGATTTGTTACAGGCATTCAATATTCCAACACCAATCCCACCGCTACTGTCACCTTCCCTCCACCATTACCTTTATTTTCTCAAGCATTCGTCAATCCTGCCTCCGTAGCAGGCCCACAATAATTCATATTATATTGCTTGTTACCATGAAATGTCTAGTTGAGTGATCAAAAACTATTTCCATAGAAGAAAATTTTTGAAAATTATTGTATCTGACCATGGGGACATTAAGTACTTGTTTGAGGACATTAAGTACTTGTTGTTTCAAGTTAAGCCTTCTGTGTTAATGTTTGTCAGTTGAAATTGGTTGGGTTCTGTGTTACATCCTATCTGGTATGCTACTTACTATTGGGATGTCAGTGTGTTGAGTTTGGAGATGTCCCGAAAATCCAGAATTCTTAATTCAGCAGTCCGGTCAGAGGCATGGAAATTACTGCAGCTAGTTGATCTTTTTTGAGGTTTATTATGAGTCTCTGGGGCAAGGCCAGTAGATGAACATACATGGTGGTGATGGTAGAATGTGGACATGGCTGCTGGGGCTTCTGGAAGTACAGGGAAGTGAAGGAGAAGTTGCCCATCCCAACTCTGAGAAGATCTGGAGGTTTCAGTCACCAAAACCTGTGACCTAGAGTTTTTGGCAAGTTAGGTTCTCTGTGGATCTCAGTCCTGGGGTGGTGAAGTCCATCCAGAGGCATGGCAGCAGCTTTGGGTTATGGAAGCAGCTACTGGAACTGGTCCATCTCCCTCTCTAGATCAACCTAGAGGTCTCAGCCAGAATAGGTATCTGAGAAATTTGTGCAGGTAGTTGCTTTCGTTCGAGACTTATTTATGAGTCTCAAGGATAAGGCCAGTAGATAAGCTTACATAGTGACAGAAGTGGGATGTATGTCTCACTAGTAAACTGAAGAAAATAACAGTACTTTATTTTATAACTGGACATAGTACAACACGAAAAAATACCCTAGAATATAGTGTGGCGTATGGTATTTATAATTGTCATTACTATTCTTAAGCACAATAAGGATATAGAGCAATTCTTTGCTTCTGTGAACTTAAAATATGTTTTGTACATTTAATAAAATAGTATTTGAAAGATTTCAGTGGGGCAATAAACCACCAGAATGTTTCCAAAGCACCCTATCAACAATAAACTATAAAATTCTAACACAGTATTTATTCATAATATTTAAATACATATAAACTTATGACAAGAATGTAACATAATGGATCAAGAAAGATTATTTTATAAGATGTAAGTTTAGAATCTTAAATAATATTGGGTAGGAAGAGAGGTTTGGATGGTTATAAAGGTTTGAACAGAGAAACAGAGAATTGATAGACTGAAAATAATTGGCAGAACCATTATAGTCTCCTGATGGAACTATAAATTGCATCCTAGAATTCAAAGCTCTGTGTCAGAGTATGTGGAGAACATGCTGTGTAATTTAGCATTTATCTAGAATTAATGGGACTCAGAAATGATGATTTTGGTATGGAGAGAAGAGAGTCAGGTAATAGTGAACCGAGATCATTTCTGGGTTCTCTTGCTAGTCAGTACCTAGAGTACGGACACCTTGGTTTACTCATTTCATTAACCCTTGCACCTATTATGGGTGTTCATTTAAACATTATGTAATTTTTTTCTTTGCCCTGGATTAAATGCTAGGCTTCACATATGGTAAGGCAGGTACTCACTGAGCCATATTCCTGGCTGTTCAGCAACTATTGGTGAAATGTAAAGGGAGAGCAGGGAGCAGGGATAGCAATAGAGGATGGAAAAGAATATAATTCCTTTTCGCCCTTGATCAGTGGTGTCATATTAAGACTTTCTTGTGACCACAATTAAATACTTAAATACATGTAGAGGAAAACACCCACTAATTGCCTATAAGACAAGAAGAATACTAACAAGACCCCAAAAAATGAAAATTTATCTGCCTGTTCATCATTAGTATTTATAATTTAAATGGGAACATCCTAGTTGTATGGTTTATCTCTTTAAGTAATAGTGTACTGCATTTATTTATTGTCAACAGCATCAGCAACCTTACATTTTTATAGTGTTTTAATACCTCCAAAATTACAAATCTTAGAAATTTCCAAACTCCCAAAGTGAAGCATTTCTAAACATCTATGAAAAGTATTGAAGTTACCCACAAAAGAAGCCAAAGCCATTAGAATGTTTCAACACAATTTGGGAACAAAGATGAGATGGGGGAAGAAGGTTATAGAACCCTTTAGCATAGCTCTGAAGGCCAATTAGGACTTGAAATATATTGAAGACACAAAATATTTATTTACAGACGAGATGAAATAGAGGTAAAGTGGTTTCCTGTAGGAGAGGTGGGTGACTCATCTGGGGACACCACAAACAGTAGCTTTCCTTTGCTGGGGAGGCTGTGCTCAAGACTTAATCCTGGCTCTGTACTCAGGGATCACTCCCGGAAATGATCAGGGGACTATATGGAATGACAGGGATCAAACTTGGGTCAACTGTGTGCATAGGCACACTCCTTAACCTCTACTATCTCTCTAAACCCTGTATTTTCTTTTTTAAAACTTCATTATCGACATGTTTTACCCCTGTACTATCACTTCAGTTCTTTTATTTACTTTTTAATGTACTATTAAAAGGACAGAGAGAAAGTACAGAGGCTAAGATTTGCCGTGACATGAACTAACCCCGGTTCAGTCCTTATACAAAATATGATCTTCTGAGCACTACCAGGAGTGATCCCTAAGCATAACTAGGTGTGGCTCAACCTTCACTCCCAGGAAACTATTAATGAGAGGTAACATGGTTTACAAGTAATGTTTATACTTACACTTTATATAGTGTTTCTCTACCACACACACCACCAAAGTACCAGTATTCCTCTCTACCACTGACCATCTTTTCTTTAAATATGTACTACTTACCTTAGAAGATAAGAGACACTAGGAAGCATAACTTTCCTGAGAAATTTTATTTCTTCCTGTTTACAGAAACCTGCCTAGCAAAAAGGATGTAAAATGGGGCATGGGAATGAACCATTTATTTTTAGAGTTGAAAACAGTTCATAGGGGATGCTCAGAATCTGGGAATACAAAAGTATATGCCAGGAAGTTGCTGACAGTTATTTTTGCAATAAAAATTTTCATTAACATCATATATTGTCATGCTTTAGTTAATTTCTAAATAGGATAGATTCATGCAATAAAATTATTTTAAATGAATTTTTAATTATAATTAATCTATTATTTTTTGTGGATTCAACACCTTAAAAAAGTTCTTTTAAAATTCTTCATAGAAGTAAAGTTTTAAATTATTCCTGTCCATTTTTCCTTTTTCAGACAGAGGTAATTGTGAATTCTCTGTACATGTCTTCTAATCTTAATGATGGAACTGTGTCAAAATCGATTCTACAAAAAGCAGGAGAACAAGTGAAAATGGAATTATCTCATAGAATGACTACTGAAGCTAAAAATAATGACTTTTTATTGGTCACAGGAGGATATAATTTGGCCTCTAAATATATATTCCATGTGTTGTGGAATCAAGATTTTAACCCAAGCGAGGTAAGGTTCAAAAAAAAGTATCTTTATGTAGCCGCACATAAATTCTTAAGTGAAATTTCTCATATCTTTATTTTATTATTTTTTTAATATTTAATACCTATTTCCTTTTTTTAAAAGAAATTTTATTGGATCACCGTGAGATACAGTTACAAACTTGCATGATTACGTTTCAGTCACACAATGTTCTAGCACCCATCCCTCCACCAGTGCACATTTCCACCCCCATTATTCCAAATGGCCCACCTACCACCTGCACCCCACCCCGCTCCCTGCCTTTGTGGCAGATACCATCCTTCTTACTCTCTCTCTACTTTGGGGCATTATGGTTTGCTATACAGATACTCAGAGGCCGTAGTGTTTGGTCCTCGGTCTACTTTCAGCACACATCTCCCATCTCAGGCAATCCTTCCAATCATAATTTACTTAGTGGATTATTCTCCATCCCAACTGCCTTTTTTTAAAAAAAAATTTTATTGAGTCACCATGAGATAGTTACAAGCTTTCAATGTTTGGGTTACAATCACACAATGATCAAACACCCATCCCTCCACCAGTGCACATTTCCCACCACCAGTATCCCCGGTATACACCCCCTTTCCCACCCTCCCTCTGCCTCCATGGCAGACAGTATTCCCCATACTCTCTTTCTACTTCTGGGCATTATGATTTGCAATATAGACACTGAGAGGTTATCATGTTTGGTCCTTTATCTACTTTCGGCACACATCTCCCAACCCGGACCGGTTCCTCAGGCCATCATTTTCTTAGTGATCCCTTCTCTATTCCAGCTGCCTTCTCCCCTTTGCTCATGAGGCAGGCTTCCAGTTAAGGAGCAATCTATCTCTCCCATGTATCTACTATTCTTAGGTGTTAGGTCAGCCTCATGTTATGTTGTTTTATACTCCACAAATGAGTGCAGTCCTTCTATGTCTGTTCCTCTCTTTCTGACTCATTTCACTTAGCATGATATTCTCCATGTCTATCCATTTATAAGCAAAGTTCATGACTTCATCTCTCCTGACAGCTGCATAGTATTCCATTGTGTAGATGTACCAAAATTTCTTTAACCAGTCATCTGTTCTAGGGCACTTGGGTTGTTTCCAGATTTTGGCTGTTGTGAACAGTGCTGCAATGAACATATAGGTACAGATGTCATTTCTACTGTGCTTTTTTGCATTCTCGGGATATATTCCCAGAAGTGGTATTGCGGGGTCATATGGAAGTTCAATTTCTAGTTTTTGAAGTACTGTCCATATTGTTTTCCAGAAAGGCTGGACTAGTGGACATTCTCACCAACAGTGAAAGAGGGTCCCTTTTTCCCCACATCCACACCAGCTCTGGTTGCTTTTGTTTTTTTGAATATGTGTCAGTCTCTGTGGTGTGAGATAGTATCTCTTTGTTGTTTTGATTTGCATCTCCCTGATGGCTATCAGGGAGCATTTTTTATGTGTCTTTTGGCCATTTGTATTTCTTTTTTGAGGAAACTTCTGTTGATTTCTTCTCCCCATTTTTGATGGGGTTAGAGGTTTTTTTCTTATACAATTCTACTAGTGTCTTGTATATCCTGGATATTAATCCCTTATCAGATGGGTATTAGATAAACATTCATTCCCATTCTGTGGGCTCTTTCTATATTTTGGTCACTGTTTCTTTTGAAGTGCAGAAGCTTCTTAATTTGATGTAGTCCCATTTGTTTATGTTTGCTTCCACTTGCATGGTCAGTGGTGTTTTGTCCTTAAAGATGCTTTTAGCTTCAATGTTGTGGAGAGTTCTGCCTACATTTTCCTCTCTGTACCTTATGGATTCATGTCTGTTATTGAGGTCTTTAATCCACTTTGATCTGACCTTTGTGCCTGGCATTAGACAGAGGTCAGGGTTCATCTCAACCACCTCTTGCCCCAGCATGTGGAACCAGCTTCCAAACCATGGAGTGACCCTCCTAGCCCTTACCTCTATGGTCCTTATTAGTCTCATATTATGCTACTTTATATTCCACAAATGAGTACAGTCATTCTATGTCTGTTCCCCTCTTTCTGACTCATTTCACTTAGCATGATACTATCCATGTCTATCCACTTATATGTGAATTTCATGATTTTATCTCTTCTAACAGCTGCATAGTACTCCATTGTATGGATATACCAGAGTTTCTTTAACCAGTCATCTGTTCTTGGGCACTCAGTTTTTTCCAGATTCTGGCTATTGTGAACAGTGCTGCAATAAACATACAAGTGCAGATATCATTTTTACTGTGTTTTTTGCATCTCTAGAATATATTCCCAGGAGTGGTATTGTTGGGTCATATGGAACCTCAATTTCTAGTTTTTGGAGGAATGCCCATATTGTTTTCCAAAAATGTTGGACCAGTCGGCATTCCCACAAACAATGAATGAGAGTCCCTTTCTCCCCACATCCACACCAGCACTGGTTGTTCTTCTTCTTACTGATGAGTGCCAGTTTCTATGGTATAAGATGATATCTCATTGTTGTTTTGATTTGCATCTCCCTGATGATTAGCCATGTAGAACATTTTTTCATATGCCTTTTGGCCATTTGAATTTTTTTTTAATTTCTCATATCTTTACACCTACCAAGTATTATTTATTGTCAGGTAGTAGTCTCCATTTCCTGCCACTTTGTGAATACCTGAAATACCACGTATTGTTGCCATGTGATCTTAAGTTTAATTTAACATATTATGTTGCTCATATATAAAAATTAAGTGCTTAGGCTGTTGGTAGATGCAGACACATCAGACTTCCTTCAGTCTGCACACCCATTCACCTTCCCACACCATGACCTTGGGAGGCTTTTCCTATCCAAGTGAGCCTTGATTTCAGCCTCTTCAGCTTTGCTTCCATCTGAAAAATTCCCAGAGGGCCTGGGAGTTCCCTTCCTGCTTCATTTCTGTCAAATTCAATACCTGTGATTCTTTTTCCACCTGTACTTGGAGTCGAGCTAGGCTTTCTGTTCAAACTTACACCTGAGGTTCATGAAACTCACACATTGAAAAAATAAGGAAAACCTCTCAGATGTGGGGTAGGGGGATTTAACCCTCTTTCTGCCTGTTTCTCCTTTTATTTTGTCCTTTTTCTGTTCTCTCTTGACTAGAGAGAGCCCTCAAATCCAAATTGGTTCTCATACCACTTAGTTTTTTAAGGTCCTTCACAAACAATTTCCTGTATTAGTATTTGGTTTGGATGTAAGATGTTGATAGAAAATTTGAATCTGCTAAATATGCCAGACATCTTAAAGAGAAATTGTATGACAGATCTTTGTGATATTTAGTACATGCTTCTTAACTTCTTTTACCCTCTGACATCTTTGTCGAACTGCTTAGAGCTTTTCTGCTTGCTGACCTGGAGGGGATAAACTGCAGGTTGGCTCGCTGACTTGAAGAGGAAGGGCAAGGCTGTATAAACTGGGAGAAATCATAGAGCCCAAACATCCTGAATGACCACTCAGTTCCTTTACTTCCTTACTCTTTTAATTTCTCAATGTCTAAACCTTATAGCTCTAAGTTTTTACTGAGGAGTGAAACCTTTCCTTTCCCCTAAGTGTAGACAAGTTCTTGGGGAAAAATAGAGGTTGGCATTATAAAACATGGGCATATCTAGGGCTAAGGATCCTTTCTTGGAGGAGTAGTTGGGTTTGGGGCCCACACCCAACAGTCAGTGGTGATTTTTGGCTCTGTACTTAGGATTCACTTCCAGTGTGGACAATATGGATAAATCCTGGGTTGATCACATGCAAGCAAGTGGCCTTAGCCCTTGTACTATCTTCAAGCTCCTGAAGTGAAGTCTCAGTTTTAGTCTTTGATTTGGGGGGCACACCCTTCAGTGCTCAAGGCAAATTTCAGTTCAGTGCTTGGGGAGTGTGTGTGTGTGGGGAGGGGCAGTCACAATAACAGTACTTAGGGCACCATGAGTTGCTTAGGACAAGGCTCTGGAAGATAAACATATGCTTGAACCCTTTGGAATATCTCCCCAGCCCCTGAAGTCAAAGATTAATTTAAAGTTTGTGTTTTTCCTACAGATATTATCAATTGTAATGGACATGTGTTTGTCAGAATGCTCTTCAAAAAACATAACTTCCATTTCCTTTCCTGCACTTGGAACTGGAAAAATTAATTTATCAAAATATCACGTTGCAAAGGTCATGTTTGAGAAAGTATTATTATTTGCCCATCATTATTTGAAAGAACACCTTATTGTAAATTTTGTGATTTTTCCATCAGACGAAAAGATATACGAGGTAAGTTGGTATCTTAAAAAGTTCATTCTCTCAACAGCATCTATTTGGTATCTCCAATACACAACATGGTACAGGGCGATGTTGTTCTAACTTGTTGAAATAAATTTTTATAAATTTCCCACCTATTATATGCAAAAGAATGTAATTTATATAAACCATGATTGCTCCACTTCCCAGCTTCTTCCTTTCATTAGTTGACTTTTTTTCTCTTATGCAATCAGCTACTCTCAATATGGGAATCCTCTACTCTTCTTTGCTTCTCCAAGAATGGAGCAATTTATAAAAGTTTTCTCATAGCTTCTGGAAACTGTATTTTCTGAACCACCTTTAAATACAGTGCATCAAAACTCTCATTTTTTTCTTGAATACCTGACTAATGGACTGGAATGATAGCACAACAGGTAGGACATTTGCTTTGCACACGGCCGGCCTGGCAGAACTGGGTTCAATTCATCTGTACCTCTCGGAGAGCCTGGCAAGCTAGAGTATCCTGCCCGCATGACAAAGCCTGGCAAGCCCCCCCCCCCCCCCGTGGCATATTCGATATTCCAAAAACAGTAACAGCAAGTCTCACAGTGGAGACGTTACTGGTGCTCACTTGAGCAAATCGATGAACCGATGGACAGTGCTACAGTGCTACCTGACTGATATCTTATATCCAGCATATTTAAAGCAAATTTGTTATCTTCTGTTCTTCAGTCCACCAATTGGGCAAGCTAATTTACTTATTATGCCTCAATTTCCTCATCTTAAAAGGGCAATAATTACCATCTTATGGAACTGTTGTGAGGATCAAATTAGTTAAAACAAGGTAAATACTGAAAACAGAACCTGTCACACAAAGTCTTCCATAAATATTAGACTTTGTTACATTAGTTGTAAATTACCAATAGTTTGCTGAATACTGACATGAGTATTAATTTAAGTGAATTGCTATCTTTTTTTTTCTAAGAAGATTGTAATTTCTTTAGTTATAATTAGATTTCAAGTTCTCAATTAGATCATAAGTTATTTTATAGCATGAGAATCTCTGGCTATGTTTGCATATCTCCAATAGTACCCTCAAATCAATTTTTAAAAAATCATTTGTAAGTGACCCCAGAGGGAAATAAGTAAGGTCAAATATAAAATGGATGGATTTGTAAAAAGGAGAGTGTGTCTGTGAGTCTGAGTACAGAGATGTCTGTTCAAGTTCTTTTGTTTGTTTTTGTGGGGACAGTTGGAGCCACATTCAGCAGTGATCTGGGTTTACTCTTGGCATGTTGATTGGGGTTCACTCCCATGCTTAGGAAATCATACTGTTATTGGGGATCCAGCCCTTTGAACTTTCTCCCCAGCCTCATATGTGTAAGCTCTTTCCACTTCCTCCTGGCCTTTGGTTGTAGAGTAGCAGGGCAAGCTAAATTTCTAACAAGTTAATAGGTTCTTGAGTGAGATATATACACACACATATAGATAGAAATATATATATAGGCATATATATGTATTTGGTATAATTAACATATTGCTATGCTGATCTAGCTCTGAAGTACTATTTCTTTGCTTTAGTTCTGGCTGGTATTTTCAGAAATAAAGTTTAATGTTGTTAAGGAAAAATACAAATAAAATGAGCTGAAAATACAGCACTTTCAAATATGTCTTCAAGACAGGCTATGATTCTGCTAACAGCATTATCCCAATGCTAGTGCCACTTTCTAGACATGTTTCTGGCTAATACAAGCTATGAAAGCTCAATGCTTAATTTTTTGTATTCCTATACTAATTTTCAGAGTGACTAAGCCAGATGACAGTCCCATAAACAGTGAATGAATCTTGGCTCTTTCTTTGTCTTTTTCTCCCCCTTTACCTCTTTATAAACAAGTTTCAATAAAACCTTTCTTGCTTAAAAAAAAATTGAGAAATTGGCCTGGGTGATGGTATGGTGGTAGCGAACTTGTCTTGCATGCAGCCAACCTGATCTTACACCCAGCACCATATATACTTCCCCAGGCCCTGTCAGAAGTGATCTCTGAGTGCAAAGCCAGGAGTAAGCCCTGAGCCCTGAGCACCAACTGGTGTGTCCCCAAACAAACAAATGAACAAAATTAAGAGACCATACATGTTTAGTTTTGTAACTCTAAGGAGGGGATTCGGCGTCTGGCATATGGCATCTGGATGGAGCAATACACAGTGGGTAGGGTGTTTGCCTTGCACACGGTTAACCCAGGTTCGATTCCTCCATCTGTCTCAGAGAGCCTGGCAAGCTACCGAGTATCCCGCCCACACAGCAGAGCCTGGCAAGCTCCCCATGGTGTATTCCTTATGCCAAAATCAATAACAACAATCTCACAATGGAGATGTTACTGGTGCCCACTCGAGCAAATTGATGAACAATGGGAGGACAGTGCTTCCGTGCAAGGAGAGAATTATCTTACAGAGTAATTCATATTGCTAATTGTTCTGTTTTGGGGTCAGATGATGCTTGGGAGACCATACGAGATCCCGGGGATCAAACCCTGGTCTGCCATGTGCAAGGCAAGCTCCTTACCAACTGTATCTCTCCAGCTCCATCAGCGATTATTTTTGCAGTAATTTACCCTGATCATTGATTATTTCTTTAGAATATTTTTAATATTATGCATCTTATACATCCACATAAAAGTACAATATGTGTGTGCATACATATATATACACATATATATTACATATATATATATATATACCCTTTTGCCTCTGATAAGCACATATTTTTCCTAAGTAAGTCTTTCAATGAGGGGTGTATATGTTTGGAATATTAGAAGGCAACCTACACACTTGTTCACAAAGGGTGTTATCTTTCCAGAGCCTATATTTCAGAGAATGGATTTTTCTTTTTTCTTTTTGAGAACAGATTTTTAAGACATCCAGAATTGATCTGACTTGGGAAAACCAACCTACACTAACTCATAGTAAACTGATACTTCTGTTCATCACATACTCATTAATTCTCTAGTTCGTGAATGACAGTGAGCAAATAACTTTACTTGAATAAAAATTTTTTCACTAGTCATTAATTATATTAGGGCACCTGAGTTGACCTGCATATCTGTGAAAGATGATGGTTGGTCACTCATTTGGCTTGTTTGGGAGACAAACATGGTGATGCTCAGGGTTCCTCGTGACTCTGCACTCAGGAATCACTCCTGGTGGTGCTTGGGGAACCATATTGGAAACCTGGGATGGAACCTGGTCAATCATATGCAAAGCAAATATCCTACCCACTGTACAATCTCTCTGGCCCCAAGAAACCCTAACTTTTAAAGAACTTTTAAAAAACTGATTTTTATTCATTTCCTTCATGATCACGATCACGATCATCCTGTTGTTCGTCAATTGCCTCAAGCATGTACCAGTAATGCCTCCTTCGTCCTAGCCCCTGAGATTTTTTTTTTAATTTTTATTAGTGAGACACCATGAGGTACAGTTGTAGACTTACAATTTTTTGTGCTTGGGTTTCAATTATACATTGATCAAGTGCCATATTCAAGGCTCTTAAAGGGTTAGGAGAATGAGATGTTACTGATATTTGGCATATTGGGTATGCCACGGGGAGTTTGCCAGACTCTGCCGTGTGGGCAGGTTACATTTGGTAACCTGCCAGGTTGTCCATAGTAAGAATTAGAATGAGATAAGATGTCTTCTGGGAGCTGGGTTTATAGTCTCTGGGTCTTGGCCGTTGATGGCATTACACAGCGCGGGGGGGGGGGGGGCAGTTGGTGGGTGTGACCCCCGCCTACTGGAAGATGAAGGATCTGGGTGGAGGATGCTCAGCCCCAATCCGAGCAGGCTTGGAGATCTCAGCCCCGGGACCCACATGCCTTTGTTCCTCTTCTGGTACCTTCATGTGTGTGGAGAGTGGTCTCAGTATGGTTGTGGCTGGTTCTGGAGGTCTTCGGCTGCTGGAGCTCTGCTCGGGGCGGGGAGGGAAACTCAACCCACCCCCCCTGCAAGGGGCCCCGGTGAGGACAGCCAGGCACGGGAGCAGAAGACTCTGCGCTGTTCTCTTCCGGGACCTGGGTTTTATAGTCTCTGGGTCTTGGCCGTTGATGGGATTACATGGTGCCGGGGGGCAGTTGGTGGGTGTGACCCCTGCCTACTGGAAGCACACTAAAGAATACTACTTTAGCACTAAAAATGCCTGTTCTTAGCAGTTATTATCAAAAATACTTTGTTCATCAGATCACTGGTTAAAGAAACTTTGGTGCATCTACACAATGGAGTACTATGTAGCTGTTAGAAAAGATGAAGTCATGAAATTTAGATACAAGTGGTACTACATGGAAAGTATGTTAAGCAAAATGAGTCAGAAAGAGAGGGATAGACATAGAAAGATTGCATTCATCTGGGGAACATAAAGTAACAAAATAGGAGACTAACACCAAGAGTGGCCAAGATTAGTACCAGGAGGTTTGCTCCATGACTTGGAGGCCAGCCACACACTCTAGGGGAAAAGGGAGCTCAGATAGAGAAAGGAACACCAAATAAAGCGTGTTGGGAGGATCCTCCCAGGATGGGAGAAGCATGCTGAAAGTAGACTACAGACCAAACATGATTGCCACTCAATGCCTCTTTTGCAAACCACAACATCCAAAAGGAGAGAGAGAACAAAAGGGAATACCCTGCCACAGAGGCAGGGTGAAACGGTGGGATGGGGGGTGGGAGGGATGCTGGGACCCATTGTGGTGGAAAATGGGCACTGGTGGAGGCATGGGTGTTTGATCATTGTACAATTGAAACCCAAGCACAAAAATTTGTAAATCTACAACTGTACCTCATGGTGTTTCACTAACAAAAATTTAAAAATAAAAAGTAAATGATGGAGGATGGACACTGGTGGAGGAATGGGTACTGGATCATTGTATAACTGAAACCCAAGCACAAAAATTATTAAGTCTACAACTGTACCTCATGGTGTTTCACTAATAAAAATTTAAATAAATACTCTGCTCATGAAGGGACATTTAGGATTTTTTGCCCTAGAAACAATAGCTGCAGATACAATTTATGAAGAAAAAGTCCTACCAAAGGGAACATTCATCGTTAAAGTTAGGATAAAAAAATCTAGTTTTTGCCTTATTATTTACCATCTTGGCAATAAAAATGATTACTACCAATTGAATTCACTTTAAAGAAGACACTCCTGGGGCTGGAGAGATAGTACGGTGGGTAAGGCACTTGCCTTGCATGCAGCCGACCCAGATTTGATCCCTGAAACCTTTTATGGTCCCCTCAACCCCTTCAGAAGTGATACCTGAGTACAGAACAAGAATTAGTAAGCCCTGAGTACTGGTGGGTACTCAGGAAAGGAAAAGAAGACACTCTCCGACCCCAGGAGGTGGGGCTGAGGAGATGGCTCAAGTGGTGTAGCACATGCATTGCATGTGTGAGGCCCTCTATTCAATCCCCAGTACTGCACGCCACCCTTCCCCATGTCCTGTGACCTAGCACTGCCCAGTGTGTCCCTGGTGGCCTTGATACTAAAAATGAGAAGAAAACATGCCCCAAACTGTAGAAGATATTTTTAATAGGTATAATAGTAAATATTATCATGAAGCAATTACAACAGCTAGCATATGGTAAGTGCTTATGATGGGCTAAGTATGTTTTAAGCACTCCACAGGAATTGATTCTTTAGACAGTTGACAGAAAAATCTTGGTAGGTGTATAACTTTTTGAATAAATGTACCTTTTATAAGAGCAACTGTCCTGTATCTTTTTCAGTGACACACACACAGCTTTAGCTTAGTTCTAATATATGACAAGTGCAGCAATTGCTTTTGAATAAATGAAAATTATATTTTGCTTGAAATATATATGCATCCATTTTATACAAGATTTTTATTTTCTTTGCATTTTTTCCTGTATTTTTTTCCTGGTTGTGATAATGCATTTGCTGTTTCCCAGGATTTTCTAAAGTCTCTTTTATATTGGTGGCAACAAGCCTGGGGACTAATAGAGTGCATGAGGTCAGGTATGGTGTGTGCAGGAAGAGAGGAATTTTGTTGATAAAAGCTAGAAACTTAGGACTGTTCTGTTTTGCTTCTTGTAGGTTTTCATCCAAGAAATGGCAAAGTACAAGTCTCTATTGCAAAATCACAATAAAGGTAAGTAAGAAACTTAAGAAGCTAGAGGTAGTGTTTCTTGTGATAGGTACTTTCTGTTTTTGATTATTTAAACTAGTGGAAGTGAGAAAAGTAAATAAGTCAAATATATTTTATTGTGTTCTGTGTGTCTACCAACTTACTCTGTATTTCACCCTGATTCAGTTCTTGGTTAGTCCCGTTTCATTCAATAAACAAAGATAGTTAATTTTCTGTTAGTAAAACCAGAATATATAGGTCTTTTGCAAGTAGTTGTCTATAGTTTTTTCTAAGATAAAGCTCTGATTTTCATAAGTTGACTAAACTACTTTCAGTGCTCTCAAGGTGTTATATTTAAATAGAATTAATCATTAGTAAATATAAAAACCCATCTTATTAATGCCAGAGAGTAGTAATTGTATTAAATCAATGTTATGCAGAACATTCTATTGTCACAAAACTACACAACTGTCAGATACTGAAACTGTTACGGCATTTTCTGGTAGGGTAAAGTGGTATTCTTATATCCTTTGGGAAAACAGTTCAGTTATAAAGGTTCTGTGACTCAGCAGTGGTGAAAATAAAGGAGGAGGAACTTTTATTTGCAGTGGGTGGGTCTTCCTAGCAGTGCTCAGGAAGCCTGATGGTTTGATGTTGAAGGGTGCGGTATGATGCTGCTGAGATGCACTTCCTGGGGACTTCCCAGACAAGTACTATTTAGGGCCTTGAGGAGCATGTCCAGTGGTGCTGGGGGACCATGCAGTGCTGTGATTGGTCAGCCACATGCAAGATAGGCCCCTTAACTCCTGTACTGTCTCTCTGCCCCAAGAAGGAGGAACATCAAGAACGCTGGCGTTACCTCTTAGGAGTCTGCTTTATCTGTAAAATAATAAAAGTTATGAGGATAATTGGGGATTATGTAAAAATGTTATTTTAATTTCAAAATATTAGACAAACTGCTAGTGTATAAATAATAAGATAGATCATACACATACCCCTCTCCCCAGGTAACATAGTAACCCTGAGAAGGGTGATTGTCCTAAGAGGAAGGGATGAAGAATGGCTTGAGGGCAAGTAACCAGCTTTTCTGCTGACAAACATTATAATTATACAGAGTTGATGCTTGGGAAACCCAAGGGGAAGAAAATTCACAAAAACAAACAAATGCAGTTCAAGTTTCGGGGACCACAGTGAATCTAGGGAAACAAGATGGTGGAGGAATTTTAGGTGCAGTTAATGTGGAAAAGAAAGATAGAAATGTCTGTATTATTCATCTGAATAATGAGGGTAAAGATCACCATTTATTTCAGCAGTTCTTTAGTTCATCTATAAAGAAATTATATCACTGGATAAAAATTGACATTAACCAGGAGTGCTAATGATTTTTTCAAATTATGAAGGAAAGATTAAACTAAGAAAACAGGAAAGTGTGTCCCCCTAGAAATATTTAACTGAGAAGCTTTTAAATTTAAATGTTTTTGGTGATAAAGGAGTATTCTTTAGTGTTATAAACAGTTTAATTATCTGAAAGAACTATTAATAAAGATAGAAATGAAGTATACCCATGCATTGTTTTTATTTACTCCTAAATGATATTTTGTTTTCAGGCAGAATAAGTGTTTAGAATATGCGACTAAGTTGCACAATGGATATTGCATTTGACTCCAGATTTTAAAAAACTAAAAACCTCCAATTTAAGAGCCTTTTAACTTTGATTTTTTAAAATTTCAGATAAGCTAAAATGCCATGCAGATGGCCCCAGAGTGAGGCCATTCTCCCCTCCTACATCTGTGTCTGTCTTGGTTTTAATAGCTCCTTATGCCACCCATTTGCAAAATGAGGTTGGGGGGTCAGATTTTAATTACACTGACATCCTAGGAAACTGAATTATGTAAACACTGGTGTTAACATGCTCGGTGCTCCTGCTAACTCCATGCATTACTTACTAGTACTATAACCATAAGCAAGTTACTTAATAACTCCCTGAATCTGTTTCCTTATTGTAAGGTGAAACTACTGATTATGTTTATCTCACTGAGCTGTATGGCTATATATAAAGCACTTGGGACAGTGCCTGAGAAATACTGCTGCCCTTACTTTTTCCTTTCAGTAAGTCTGATGTTCCCTCCTCTGTACATCTGTACTGCAATAATAGTATTCTTCATTGAAGGACAATTAGGTTAGAGTTTTTTTCTGTTGCAAACAACAATGTAAACTTTGGGGGGAAGAATACATCCCAAGGTCTTGGAGGCCATTCTTGGAGAACCTTGGTCAGCCAAGAAGGAGGCTCCATAGAGGATCCAAAGATCAGGTGCTTTTCATGCCTCTTTGGGGACAAAGGGTCTTCCTGCCAGGGATCTCCAGAGCTACACCTGGTGGTGCTGCAGGAAGGTAGGCATGTGGTACTGGGATGGAACTAGAGTCAGGCATTTATAAGGCATTTATAACCCCTGAGCTAACTTCCTAGTCTCAACAATGTGAACTTCGATGTTGTCATCCCCTGATACAGGCATGTGAAAATTGTTAAGTAATATATTGATAGGAATTGTTACTCTAGTTTTACTTCCATTTTTAGCATAAAGGATTTCCAATTTCCCTTTATATTCTTCCCAACACTTGATAATGTCAGTCTTGTGAATTTTTGACAGTCAGGATGATTTTTCATTTCAATGATTACCAATGAATATAAGCAATATTTTTATATATAATCTATATATGATTCCTTTCCTCTGCGAAGTAGAATTTTGCACAAAGGAGACGGTGGTCCGATCCCGTTCAAAATTTTGGGACAACAGCAACATCGGTCAGGCAAAACCGTCGATTGAATATGATGTGGTCTATTTCATTGTGGAATCGTCCACCGGGAGACTCCCATGTCCATCGTTTAGATTCGGCCTTCTGGAATCTTGAGTTACCATGGATGGTCTTGGTCGACATGATGAACTCAGACCGTCTCTCACCCTGTTCGTTACATTCTAGGCCATGGGACCTGCTGTGAAGTTCTTTGGCTGATCTTCTCGGTCCTATCTTGGCATTAAAATCACCCACAATGATCTTATAGAAGATGTGGTCTTCTTTATAGAACTTCTCCAGCTCCATGTAGAACTTCTCAATTTCTCCTTCATCATAATTGGATGTTGGTGCATAGACAACGAAGATAAAAAATGACGGCAGTGAGCCACATCTATTTAAATGTAAACGTCCGATTCGGGTTGTTAGGCATTCGAATGAATCAATGCTCATGGCCAAGTTTGTGTTGACAAGGACACCGACGCCTCTGACACCTCTTTTATCGCATGTTCCGAGGAACAATTCTTCTCCAGTGTCGAAAACGGCATGGTGAGATTCGTGCCTTCTTGTCTTGGTCAGACCAATGATGTCGTGCTTGATCATTCGCGCTTGTACCATCAGGTCCTCAATGGATATATGTGATGCTAGCGTACGTGCATTAAAAGTACAGATGATCTTTTTTGTCTTCCTTCGTTGTGGCAGCCTAGTTTGGCCTTGAGCTTTTATCGGCCTCTCCTTTCTCATCCTTCTCAATGCTACCATATTGGTCTCCTTCATGCAAAATTCTACTTCACAGAGCGGGGAGAAAGGGCTGCAAAGTTTAAAAAGAGAACTCCAACTGGGAGCTCTTTGGCACTATTGCGGCATGGGAAGATGCCATTGTTGACAACATTGACGAGGAATATGATCAACTGGTTCAGCACCTCCATGATTGTGCAAGGAACGCCAAGAGAGAGATAGCCACAAAAAAGCCTGTCTTCGAAAACTCTTGAGCTTATTCGCCACTGTGGTTTGGCGCATGCCTCAGGCAACCGCAAGCGAACGTCCAAGCTCGCAAAGCAGTGCAGAGATGCGATCAAGGAAGACGTCAAAGAGAGAAGAGCAGAAGTGCTGGTAGATGTGGCAGAATCTGGGAAAAGTATTCGTAACGCCTGCCTGTCCTTTGCCAACTACAAGACCAAGATGACTGCCCTCCGACATGCTGATGGATCTATCACATCTTCCAGAACAGCAATGGAGAAGATTATCCATGACTTCTACTCAAATCTCTTCGATAGCCATGTCCACTTGCCGACATACCAAATTCCACAGGATGGATATGTCATTCCCAATGTTCTCCCTTCCGAAATCCAACATGCCATTTCGTCAGTAAAGAAACGAACAGCACCCAGCTCAGACAAGGTCAAACCTGAACACCTGAAGAACTTGCTGTCAGTACTCATCAATACGCTGGCTCAGCTCTTCACACACTACCTCTCTGAATGCAAGGTTCCATCCCAGTGGAAAACCAGCAGGACTATACTACTGTACAAGAAGGGAGACATCCATGACATTGGCAACTATTGCCTGATCTGCCTATTGTCTGTCATCTACAAGTTGTTCACTCGAGTCATCCTAAATAGGATTGGCAGAACACTAGATGAAGGACAACCATGCGAGCAAGCCGGGTTCCGCAAAGGATTCAGCACCATCAACCATATCCACACGATAACCAAGATCATTGAGGTTTCTCGGGAGTTCAAGATGCTGCTCTGTCTAACGTTCATTGATTTAAAGAAGGCCTTTGGTTCTGTTGAGATGGAAGTGATCATAAAAGCCCTAGCCAAACAGGGCATTCAAACTCAATACATCAGGATCCTCTGTGAGCTGTATTACAGATTCACTACCAGGATCTCACCATTCTACAAAGAAGTAATCATTGATGTCAAGAGAGGGGTTTGGCAGGGTGATACCATTTCACCGAAACTCTTCAGTGTCACCCTCGAGAACATCCTGTGACGACTGGAATGGGAAGGAATGGGAGTGAAGATAGATGGTCGGCAATTACACCACCTCCGCTTTGCTGATGACATTGTTTTAATAACACCAAACATTAGCCAAGCAGCACAAATGCTGGCCGACTTCGACCATGAGTGTGGAAAGGTCGGACAACAGCTGAATCTTACGAAGACAATGTTTATGAGAAACAGCCTCGTTCCTGACACCCCATTCGCTCTCAATGGAACGACCATCTCCAAATGCAACAGCTGTGTGTACCTAGGTCGAGAAGTCAACATGACAAGTGACCTGGCACCTGAGTTGCGCAGGAGGAAGAGAACGGCTTGGAACGCCTTCAAGAGCGTGGAAGAAATAGCTAAGAGGACGAAGAATCTCCGGCTCTGGGCACATCTCTTTGATTCCACTGTTCTTCCTGCATTAGCATATGCCTCAGAGACCTGGGCCCTACACAAACAGGATGAGAACGCTATTGGGGTCTCCCAAAGAGGAATTGAAAGAGTCATACTTGGAATATCACATTTCACTCAAATGAGAATTCGGAGTTCCGACCTCTGTCGACGATCAAGAATCAGGGACGCTGTCTCGTTTGCCAAGGTGTCAAAAATCAGATGGACCGGTCACGTAATGAGATTTAGAGACGACTGCTGGAGTAGAGCTGTTACCGACTGGATTCTACAGGATGTCAAAAGACCGCATGGCCGCCCACCTACCAGATGGTCAGACTTCTTCATCAAGATCATGAACGATCGGTTTGAGGCTCTTCGTGTTCCTAGAGAGAACAGACGCCATTGGGCTACACTAGCTCGCGACAAGGACAAATGGAGACGTTACTGGCGCCCGCTCGAGCAAATCAATGATTAACGGGAAGTCAAGTGATCAAGTGATTCCTTTTCTATGAAATCCTTAGTCTAACTACTTAGTTATTTCTTTTACTTAATGATTTGAGGAAATTCTTTTAACAAGTCTAGAAACTTCTCAACCAAGAGTCACCTTTTTTTAATTTGGATATATTATATATAATAGATCTTATATTATCATATATTATTTAATATTATATTTACTCTTTGTGGAGGGTGATTGTAGAAGGGGTACACACGAGTGGGTTAGAATCATGTTCCATTTCTTTTTCTTCTAGGATACATTGTATATGCAATAGTAGCAGCTTCAAATACTTGCTGTAACACTATAAAATTTTCTGTCAAATACATATGTTAGTGTAAATGTGGATTTCTCATGACTTCATGGGTTCTTGAGTATTATATGAAATATTTGCATACAAAACTCAAATGCTTAAGAAGTTACAATTTATTGTGCAGTTTAAGTAGATGGTCTAGGTCTCTCCCAGTGTCCATCCCTCTTTTCCTACCTACAATGTCACTCATCCTGTCACTTGTTCTGTCCCTTGATGTCCAGATTACAATGCCTTAGTCCTATCCTTGTACTTCTCTGCCACCTCAAGTGTAGGATGGCCTGGTCTTGTCTCTACACTACATAGTTTAGCTCTAAAATCTGCAACAGGAATCCTCTACCCTATTTCCACTTGGTTGGGGTTGCTCTGTAATCTGGCTCTCTCTAGGATTGTGTTAACTCCAGTGGCTTCCTGTCCTCTTGGCTTTCCTTGGTCTCCCAGCACAGCTGCATGCACATGGGTGAACACCTCTGTTCTTCTGCTCTCAATGTGGACACAGATGAGGGGGGTCAAAGAGAGAAGTCTCCTGACTCGGGACTTCTTTTGATCTTCTACTGTCTCCCTCCTCCAGCTATTCCATTTTCTATTTTGACTTGAGACCTTTGCATGAGTGAGATTAAATTGATGAATTAAATTAACTAGTTTACCTGACATCCCTACCCTCCACTCCCATCATAACACAGATAAGACATAAAAAGGACTCCATAAAACTAGCCATAGTAAAATTATGGCTATTTCTTTGTTCATTTTATTTTGATAGTTCCCATTTAAAAATAATCAAGTTTGAAAGTCTACAATGGTACCTCATGGTGTTTCACTAATAAAAAAAAAGGAAAAAAATTTCAGATTAACAGCAATAATAATAAATAATTGGAAAACTTGAAAGCATGCATCAGGTATATTTGGGAGCTCTTTCCAAGCAATGTTAGGGACCTGGAGACCTCCTCCAAGACACTTGGCGTAGCCAGGACTTGCTTTGATGCTCAGGTTCACCGTGCAGTGCTGCTCAGGCCTGGCAGTGATAGAGACCCCCAGTGCCACACTGTTTGGTGCTCCAGGGGCCAAGTGATGATGGGAATCAAATTTCCATGTGCAGGGCACACACTCTACTCCTTTGAGACATTGCCCCATCCGTACACTAATGGGGTTTTGCTTGTTTTGTTTCTTTATTTTTTTTCTTTCGTTTTTTGGGTCAGACCTGTCTGTGCTCAGGACTTACTCCTGACTCTGAGCTCAAGAATCACTCTTGGGAGGGCTCAGGGGAACCCAGTCAGCCATGTGCATGGCAAGCACCTCAGCTGCACTGTCTCTTCAGCCCTGTTTTGTTTCACTTTTATGAATTTTTAATTTTTGAGCTCTACTGGATGTTTGATTGTAAACCTAGTAATAACCACTAAGCCACATCCTCAGACCCACATTAGCTTTTTTTAATCATCCCACCAATTAGCCTATTTTTACAGCCTATTTTACAGTTATTAACAACAGTAAATATTATCCACAAATAAACATTTTTATTTTTGTATTTAAGGAAATTTAAGATAAATTATCTTTTTTTCCACAGTTAAAATGTTGTTCATGACTTGGTTCATGACTTGCCAACACCCGTCCCTTCACCAGTTTACATTTTCCACTGCCAGTGTCCCCAGTTTTCCTTTCTATGCTTATAAAAAACACACTCAATAGAAATTAATAGTTGGTTAAATCTAGGGTAAAGTCAAAGGTGAACTCATCTGTGAATGCAACACAGCAGAGACAAGCCAGGATAAAGCCACCAAGCTAAACTGTATCCAAGGACACTGTAAATACACATTTTAATTTCTTTTATTCTCAGCACTACTCTCCGTTTTTTTTCCTATTTATTTATTTATTTATTTTTATTAGTGAGACACCATGAGGTACAGTTGTAGACTTACAAATTTTGTGCTTGGGTTTCAATTATACAACGATCAAATACCCATCCCTCCACCAGTGCCCATTTCCCACCACCACGAATCCCAGTATCCCTCCCACCCCCCATCCCCCCCATCCCACCCTGCCTCTGTGGCAGGGCATTCTCCTCTGTTCTCTCTCTCATTTGGGGTGTTGTGGTTTGCAAAAGAGGCATTGAGTGGCATTCATGTTTGGTCTAAAGTTAAGCGAAATGAGCCAGAAAGAGAGGGATAGACATAGAAAGATTGCATTCATCTGGGGAACACAAAGTAACAAAATAGGAGACTAACACCCAAGAATGGCCGAGATTAGTACCAGGAATTTTGCTCCATGGCTTGGAGGCCAGCCACACATGCTAGGGGAAAAGGCAGCTTAGATAGAGAAGGGAGCACCAAATAAAGGGTATTGGGAGGATCCTCCCAGGATGGGAGAAGCATACTCTCCGTTTTTAATTGATAGAGAACTATTACCATTGAAATCAGCGTTTCCTTAGAGCAAATACTGGTCACTGGTGTTTTATCCTTACACTGCCTTTTAAAAACCCATCTCCCTTCTCTGACTACTTACAGTCACAGAAGTTTTATCAGTCCCCCAGAGAACAGGAGCTGAGAGAAAAGGTGGACTCAGAGCTTCATCTCCTGCCGTCAGTTTAATGGGATCCAACCTACAGAAGATGATTGAAGCTGAAGCATGGATCCAAAGAATCCTCAACTTGCAGGAGCAGCACGTCATTGAGAATAACCTTATCTTCTACCTTGGAAAAAAGGAACATGACATTTTGTCCAGGCTTCAGACCTCAAAAGTGTCTATCTCAGAAAATATCATTGTAGGAAAGGCAAATTTGGAGGTTAAAGGAGCCCGGGATGACCTCATTAAGGTGGTTTTGCACATTGAACTTATGCTATGTGAAGTTGGAGAGGAAATGGCAAGAGAAAAGGAAAATGGCATTTGGAGCTTGACAAGTAAGTAACTTTTTATTAATTTCGAAAAGCAGTAGTCATCCTCATTGTCATTGTCATCATCTCCTCCTCCTCCTTCTCCTTCTCCTTCCCTTTTTCCTCCTTTCCCATCTTCTCCCCTTCCTCCTCCTCCCTCTTCTCTCCCACTCCTTCTTTTCCTCCTTCTTCTCCTTCTCCTTTCTCTTCCTCCTTCCTCTTTTTCTTCTTTCTTCCTCCTCCTCTTCCTCCTCTTCTTCTCTTTCTCCTTTTTCCTGTCTCCTCTTTCTTCCTCAGTCCTCCTCCCTCCTCTTCTTTCCTCTTCATCTTCTTTCTTCCTATTCTCTTCTTTCTTCCTCCTCTTCCTCCTCTTCTCCTTCTCTTCCTCCCTCTTCCTTCTTCCCTCCTCCTACTTTCTCTCCCTCCTCTTCCTTCTTCCCTCCTCCTACTTCCTCTTCCTCCTCTTCCTTTCTCCTTCTTTTCTTCTTTCTTCTTTTCTTATAGTCCTCCTCCCCCTTCCTCTTCTTTTTCTTTCTTCTCCTCCTCCCCCCTTTTTCTTCTCCCTTCGTTCTTCTTTCCCTTGCACCCCATATGGTGCCCCAAGCAATACTAAGAGTGAGCCCTGAGGGACTGGAGTGATACCACAGTGAGTAGGGCATTTGCCTTTCACGCGGCAGACCCGGGTTCGATTCCCAGCATCCCATATGGTCCCCCGAGCACCGCCAGGAGTGATTCTTGAGTGCAGAGCCAGGAGTAACCCCTGTATCGGGTATGACCCAAAAAGAGAAAAAACAAAAGAGTGAACCCTGAGCAGAGAGCCAATAGTGACCCCTGAGCACTGCCAGTTATCGCCCCCCCCCCAAAAAAAAATTTAAATAAATGCAAATGAAACCCTGAACATCCCACATCCAAGGGAGGTGCTCTCGCTTTTTGGTTCATCTCACTGGCCCCTAACTCTTCCTCCCTTTGGATGTGAGCATGCATATGAATATATGGTTCGGGGGAAAAACTGGAAAAGGAGAAACCACAAATTTTACATTTGTTTTATATTAGGCCATAAGCATTTACACTAAGTTTCGACTCTACCAGCAGGGTTAATCATTAGTAAATGAGAACACAAACATCTATATCAATGATGGATTTACTTTTGATGTTGTGAATTTTCTAAGAGGCAATTATATGGAAAATATAGAGTAATCTAAATCCAGGCTCTGCCTATAAAGCTTTCAAATGGAGACATTTTGCACCCATTAGTTTACTTATTTATTTAAACTATATTTTATTTATCTATTACCATCACATTAGGAACCCTAATATTACTCATTCTGAGTCCCCTTTCTGAAGCAAATTATTGGTATTGTGATATATACTTAAGTTTCACCTATTCACTGGAGAAAAATCCATCAGAATATTTGAGAGAATTTAGGACTGAAGAGTTTCTTCTAACATAAACCTAGAATGAATAAGGAAGTTTTATCATTGAGATAGTCATCTTAGGAGGTCTTGAGATAAAAAACACTTGGGGTATACGTGGTGCAGCAGCACTGCACATATAAATGATTATATTGGTTTTGTTGTTAAAAAATAGTTTTTCTAAGTGTTTTTAAAAGATAATGAAGGGAAAGGTAGTACAGTAGATAGGATCATTCCCTTTCATGCAGCTCACCTCGGTTTGATCCCACCATATAAGTTCCCACCAGGAGTGAGCACAGAGCCAGAAAAAGTCCTAACCGTTATCAGCTGTGGTGTCAAAGCAAACAACACCCAAAAAGGATACTGGGGGAATGGAGCATGGGGAGTTAGAATGCTACTTTGGGAGACCAGGCTTGTTTTATTAATTTATTCAATTACTGTATGTTGTATCCTTTATATACGCCATATATTGTACTATTACTAGGGATATAGTGATAAGATTGGACATTATTCCACTCAGAATGTAACCAGCGAAACTGAGCAATTGGTTATGAAGGAGAAGGATGCTCTGGGAGCAATGGAGAGAGGCACCTAGTGTTGACGTGAGATCAGTGGAAACCATCTCAGGAGAGGGAAAAATGGAGAACTGAAGGAAAAGTCATCTGTAAGGCAAAGGAAGAAATGTTTGAGAAAACAGGCCTTGGCAAGGCCTCCATGATGCAAAACTTTATAAGCCATATGAAAATTTTCAGAGTTTTTCTTAAAACACATGGGATCCATTGGAGAATATTAGACAAGGGTAGACCAAGCTTATATTCAAAAATAGCACTGATTGTAAAGTGGAGAAGGAATTTAATAGAAAAATTCAGATACAAAATTTCAAAGGATTCCTGGTAGAAATGGTCAAAGTAAATGAGAGTTTACAATAAGTATATCCACATTCCACAGAAAACTCACTGTCAAAAACTCAAGTACAAACTAATATTAAATAACGGAACCTAAGATTTATGGTCTCTACTAATCTTTTAAAATGTAATGCTTTTTTTTTTGCTTTTGACTTTCTACTTTTTTTATTTTTTTAACACACAGGAGAATATATATCTTATTGATAATTTTAGTAGTGAATCTGTAAGCCCAAATATCTTATTTTTTAGTACTGATACATTTTCAGAAACCAAATTAAGTAGGGAAACCAAATTAAGTAGGGTAAACCTTGGTTAACGTGGTTCTAAAAAAACAGAACAGGTATAGATTGTAAAAAAAAAGTAATGTAATGCTATTTTATGTGATATTCCTGAAGAGAGAGAGTAAAACCAACCAAACTGGGGCTGGAGAGATAGCACTGTCGATAGGGTGTTTGCCTTGCACGCAGCTGAGCCGGGTTCGATTCCCAGCATCCCATATGGTCCCCTGAGCACCGCCAGGAGTAACTCCTGAGTGCAGAGCCAGAAGTAACCCCTGTACATCGCCAGGTGTGACCCAAAAAGAAAAAAAAAAGGCTTGGAACTCGGGAACTTGGGTGCGGCAGTAATCCAAGTGCACAAAATTCGGTCTATTTTAAGCTTGTGTTATAATGAGGCAGAGAAAATAAATAAGTAATACGTAAATAAGATGATCATGGCAAATGTTAACAGAAAATTTAAAAAAAAAACCCACATAAATCCTAAAGGAAGAAAGCACTGAACAGAAGGAGGAATAATATTACACCACGGTTCTTCATCTCTAAGTACTGCTCTTCTTGACTAAGTATATGTGAATGAAATCTGTCCAAAATATTCTGCCTTGTCTCACACGAAAACCTGGGGGAATGTCAGGCTTATAATCTTAGATCCTTACTTAAGAACGCTATAATGCTGGGCAAATCACTTCTCTGCTTTTCATTTGCTTACTTGTAAAATTGTGTCAGTTATTTTAGTGGTGGTATAATGATCAAGTGATGTAGAAATACAAAATGTCTTTGAAAACTTGGAAATTTTACATAAATGCCATACCATTTACCTTCATTACTATGAACAATACAATTATATTATTATCATTTCAGTATTGATGGGGGCAGTTATGTATTAGTGCTCTTTTGCTCATTCCCATCAACCTCATAATCCAAATCATCTAGAAACAAATTTATTTTTGGACTTTGGAACACACCTATCTGTGTGCAGGAATTACTCCTGGCTCTATGCTCAGGGATCACTTTTATGTACTTGGGTACAAAATGTATTGCTGGGGATTGAATCCAGTCAGCTTTGTGCAAGGCCAGTGTCTTACCCACTGTACTATCTTTATGGCTCCGAAGGATAAATTCTTAACTCTCCATCTTATTCTGTGATTTCTTGTAAAATGATGACTTTCTTTGCATGTCCTACACATATGTGACATTTGTTGTCATGTTTCATGAAATTTGTTTGCAAACCTTTTCTGTTGGCAGAAAGAACATTGAGACAAATTTTTGTGTTATTCTTTTTAGGACCTTGGACTAATCAGCAACCAAAAGACCAGGATGAAATGAAAGAAAATACATTTCTGAAATGCCTTCGACTTGAAACTTCAGAAATTCAAGATCAAAAGAAACAATTTGAAAAGTGTGGTTTACAAGTAGTAAAGGTATTGGGGAGGATTGATGTGTCTCACTCTTGATTCACATGGTTCTGGGTCAAAAAGAAAAAGTCACCTGCTGATGGAACTTCTTTTTCACTTTAAATCTTGGGAATAAAAATGATAGAGAAGGACATGTATGAGGAATATAGTTAGAATAAGGAAGGAGAAATAATGTTAGGATGTACAATTGTGTAGATCAAGACTCAAAAGTGTTGTCTGCCTAGCTTGAGGCAAAATAATCACTTAATCACTTAACTTCCCATTAGTCGTCAATTTGCTCGAGCAGGCGCCAGTAACGTCTCCATTAGTCCCTGTCGCGTGCTAGTGTAGCCCACTGGCATCTGTTCACTCTAGGAACATGAAGAGCCTCAAACCGATCGTTCATGATCTTGATGAAGAAGTCTGACCATATGGTAGGTGGGCGGCCACACAGTCTTTTGACATCCCGTGGAATCCAGTCAGTAACAGCTCTAGTCCAGCGGTCGTCTCTAAATCTCATTACGTGACCAGCCCATCTGATTTTTGACACCTTGGCAAACGAGACAGCATCCCTGATTCTTGATCGTCGATGGAGGTCTGAACTCTGGATTCTTTCTCTCATTTGAGTGAAACGTGATACTCCAAGCATAGCTCTTTCTATTCTTCTTTGGGAGACCTGAATAGCATTCTCATCTTCTTTGCGTAGGGCCCAGGTCTCTGAGGCATATGTTAATGCAGGAAGAACAGTGGAATCAAAGAGATGTGCCCGGAGCCGGAGGTTCTTTGTCCTCTTAGCTATTTCTTCGACGTTCTTGAAGGCGTTCCAAGCCACTCTCTTCCTCCTGCGCAGCTCAGGTGCCAGCTCATTTGTCATGTTGACCTCTCGACCTAGGTACACATAGCTGTTGCATTCGGAGATGGTCATTCCATTGAGAGCGAATGCGGCATCAGGAACGAGGCAAAATAAAAGAAATGGAATAACAGTTATCACACTGTAATGAGCTATTGTCACTAAACTATGAAGTTTCCACCCTTTCACCTCTACCGTTTCAATAACCTCAGTTCTATGGGATTTGTCATTGAGCTTTATCTGTTCTCTTGCTTTGTTTCTTTATATCTCAAACATCAATGAGGTCATCCAGTGTTTGTCTTTCTCCCCTCTGACAAATGTCCATGTAGGTAAAAGATAAAGGTAAAGGCCCTCCCGTTGATCGTCGATTTGCTCGAGCGGGCCCAGTAACGTCTCCATTGGAGACTTTGTTGTTACTGTGTTTGGCATATCGAATACTCTCGGTAGCTTGCCGGGCTCTCCGAGAGGGGCGGAGGAATCGAACTCGGGTCGGCCATGTTGGCCGCATGTAAGGCGAACGCCCTACCCGCTGTGCTATCACTCCAGCCCAAATGTCCATGTAGTGCCTTTATTTTTAAATAAAGTGTCTCCTGCAGTGTATGTACTGTTCTCCAACCTCTCATGTTTTCATTTCCTTGTGTTCTAGGTGGAGAGGATAGACAATATGAATCTCAGAGCAGCCTTCCAAATCACTAAGATGATGATGGAAAAGAAAACAAAGGGGATCACCAACAGCCACAGGCTGTTTCAGCAAGTTCCATACCAGTTCTGCAATGCGATATGCCGAGCTGGCTTTCAAAGAATGTACTCCATGCCCTGCGGTAGGTTTCAGTCCTTCATACTCAGAACCACTCTCTGATGAGAGAATTGGTGAGCAGAACTCAGCTTATGACTCACCACTAGCTGCATGTGTGGCTTTGCCGAGCCAAGGAGATCTAACAGTGATATCATTGGGATGGATTGGATAGTTAAAATTTTTATTTCATGTAGCTCTTTTGATGAGAGGGTTTTTGCTAATTAAAATGTTAGTTGTAAGATCTAATGGTTTAAGAGCTACAGGCCATTTTATCCCTCCTTTATATGTTTATGTGCCTTTTATGAAGGAGATTCAAACTTTTTATTTTTAGCTTACTTCTCTCAGTTAATCAGCACTACTAAATTAGTCTCTTCCCCTCCCTTAATTTATAAAGCACCTTCACATATGTGAGGGATTTTTCTCTATCTCTCCATTTTCTGTAGCCTCATACCGAATGAATTAAATCAGGCAGGTTGAAGGGAATAACATCTTTATTTTTTACTAGAGTTTACTGAAAGTCTTTATTCCCTATATATTTTTTTTGTTCCTCTCCTTCACAGCCCTCTTCCTTTCCCTTCTCCTCATTTAATCTTAATTCTGTTATTAGTGTCCATTGCTTTGCCTTTTTATTTTGCTTGTCTGCTACAATACTACAGGCCTATATAGGATGATACATAAAATCATCCAATACTTATCGTTTCCTTTATTTTGTTTCACATAATTTCCTTAAGCTTCTTCGAATTTGTTGTAAATGCCTCAAAATTGGGCACTCTAGTACGGAACCACCTCACCACATTCACTCAGAGCTCCTTATTTTTCCACATCCTTTCTGAATTAACCTTGAATATAAGCCATTCTTGCAGGTGTAAATGTTATCTCATTCTGATTTTAATTTTAATTTTTCTGACATCAATGATAACATTTTTCATGTAGCTAACCTCTTTGGAAAAATATCTAATCAGTTTTTCCCAGTTTTTGATATTTTTATTTTTTCACCATTAAGTTGTATGAGTTCTCTTCACACCTGGGGCCTTGAACTTAATGTAGTCTCAATTCTTTTTTTTCATTTTCCTTGTCATTGAGTTCATGCACTCCCAAAATCTACACTTCACCTATGTTAACTTCCATGTATTTAGTTATTTCCGGTCTTGCATTGAAGTGTTTAGTCCATTTCAAATTTGTTTTTGTATATGGGTTAAGAAAGTAGTAGATATATTCCTTACCATGTGCTTGTCTGGTTTTCTCAGCACCATTTGTTGAAGAGTCTCCTCTTTCCTCTGTCTGTCCTTATATGCTTTGTCTTAAATTAAGTATCAATACAGTTGTGGGCTTATTTATGAACTTTTTTCTCCCATTGTCTATTTTTTGTTTGCCATAGAGTTGTAATTGCAGTCACTTTGTAATATAATTTGAGGTCTGGTAATCTGGTCCCTTCGTTTTACTTTTTCTTCTTCAAGGTTGCTGTAGATATTTAAGTTTTTTAATGATTCTGTATGTACCTTTGTATTTTTTATTTTACTTCTTTAAAAGGGCTGGAGTGGTAGCACAGCAGTAGGGCGTTCACCTTACAAGCAGCCAACATGGCCGACCCGAGTTCGATTCCTCCACCCCTCTCGGAGAGCCCGGCAAGCTACCGAGAGTATCTCGCCCTCATGGCAGAGCCTGGCAAGCTCCCTGTGACGTATTCGATATGCCAAACACAGTAACAACAAGTCTCATGATGGAGACGTTACTGGGCCCGCTCGAACAAATCGATGAACAACGGGAGGACCGTGTCTACTTCTTTAAAAAGGTCTTGAGACTTTGGTAGATATTGCATTAAATACGTATATTACTTCTTATAGAATGTAAGTTTTTAATATATTACTTTTCCCTATCCATATACATGGAGTATTTCTCTGTCTCTGTCTTGCAGTATCAAGAGATCTCAAAGATACAAACCATGCATGCATACTACTACTGAGACACATACTCAGGCTGCTTTTTCCTCTCTCTGTTTTTAGTTTGTTTGTTTTTAGGCTGGAGCGATAGCACAGTGGTAGTGTGTTTGCCTTGCACACGTTTGCGTTGCATGCAGCTCACACAGCCAACCCGAGTTTGATTCCTCCTCTCCTCTCGGAGAGCCCGGCCAGCTACCAAGAGTATCTCGCCCACGCCCACCCGGCAAAGCCTAGCAAGTTACCTGTGACCTATTCGATATGCCAAACACAGTAACAAGAAGTCTCACGATGGAGACGTTACTGGGCCCACTCGAGCAAATTGGTGAACAACAGGAGGGCAGTGCTACAGACCAGCCCTACAGTTTTTAGGCTACTCCCGTTGTTGCTCCAGTGATACTCCAGCTCAGTGTTCAGGGTTTATTGAAGGACTGTGTATACAGGGGAATCAAACTTATGACCTCTAGGATGCAAAGCAAGTGCTCCAACATTGAGCTGTATCCCTGCCCCTGACTATTAATGTTTTGGTCTATGTGTTTTAAAAGTGTTTTATAGTTTTCTGTATAGATCTTTCACCTACTTTGTTTAATTTTTTTCTAGGTACTTAATTTTTAATACAATTGTAAGTTGAATTACTTTCTTATTTTTTATTATTTGCATATAGGAACGCAACAAATATTTGTATATTGTTTTATAACCAGCCACTTTGCTGTACTCACTGTTTTTGTTAGCTTTCAAAAAGTTTTAATTGAATATCCTGAGATAGACCATTACAAAGCTGTTCATTATTGGGTTTCAGTCATACAATGATCCATACCCATCACTCAGTGTACATCTCAGTGTACATTTCCCACCACCAATGTCTCCTTTTTCCCTACCACTATCCCCCAACACCCCACCCCACACTCCCAGGCCCCCTCTATGGGAGGAACTTTCCTTCTTGTTCTCTCTTTCTGTTTCCTTTTATGCATTATGGTTTGCAATATGGTTTAGTCATGGTGTTTGTCAGGGCATTCAGTATTTTCATCGGGAAGATAAGACTGGAGTAGCTTTTCAATTGGATGGCTGTTTTGGGGTGTGGATGTGACCCTGAGGCTTCTGGAAGTACAGCGAAGCGGGGGAATGTAGGCCATCCTAACCCCGAGAAAGCCTGGAAATTTCAGTCACATAACTCACATACCAGAATTTTCAGCAGATTATGTCTCAGTGAGATCCGTCCTGAGACAGTGGAATCAGGCTGGGGATATTGCGGTGATTTTGGATTGTGGGAGCAGCTGCCAGGGTGCTTGGGCGGGCACCAGGCTGACCCACACCCCTCTGTTTTACCCCTGTCTGTTCAGCCAAGTGCAGGTCGGAGATTAACTGCAGCTTTTGATCTCTTCCAAGATTTATTTATGGGTCTCTGAATCAAGGTCAGTCGTAGAGCTTACATGAAGGTGCTGAAATTGGTTTGTGGGGGTGACTGCCAGTGCTTCCAGTGGTATTGGGAAGTGGGGGAATGTAGCCCATACCAACCCTGAGAAAGCCTGGAGATTTCAGTCACAAAACCCGTGTACCCAAATTTTCAGCAGATGATATCTTGATGAGGTCTGTCCTGAGACAGTGGATTCAGGCCGGGGATATGGTGGGGATTTTGGATTGTGGAAGCAAGTGGCTGCCAGGGACTCTCTTGGGCAGGCTCCAGGCTGTCCCACCCCCCTCTGATTTACCCTAGTCTGTTCATCCATGCGTGGGTCCGAGATTAATTGTGGCTTTTGATCTCTTTCGAGATTTATTTATGGGTCTCTGAAATAAGGACTATAAATGAGCTTGTTTAGCTGAGCTGGAGGTGGTATGTGGGTATGGCTCCCACATAAATAACTTTTGGCCATTTAATTTCTGGTAAACTTGGTTCCAAGTTGTTGGGGTCTGCCAAAGGTACAGCGGCAATTTTGGAGTATCAGGAAGCCTGAAGGCTCCATCAGGCTGTTGATGCACTCACCCCGCAGGTACATGTTGACCTGCTGGCAGCACCATATCCCCAGTTTTTAATTATCGTTCAGCATAGTTTTTGGAGTTTTCAATATTATTATTAAAAATTATTCAATAAACTTATTATCTACAAATAATAAGTTTTTCTTTAAGTATTAGAATTTATTGTTAAAGCCATTTAGTCCAAAACTTTCGTTTTGTGGCAGTTTGATTATATTTAAATTTCCATATTCTGATCAACTTATTTGTGTTTACTGTTTCTCCTTGCTTCAATAAAGATAGATACATTTTTAGATAAAAACAAGTATTTGTTTTTAGTTATCAAATTTATTAACATATAATTGTTCCAGGTAGCCTCATAATTCTTTGTATTCTTATGCCATCTTTTGCAATTGTGTCTCTTTCTTCTGATTTTATTAGAATTTTCTCTTTTTTTATTTTTGTTTGGGGGATTCTCAGGCAATTTTCAGTGCTTGTTGCAGCACTTTGAACTATCTCCTTGTCTTCTTTAATTTTTAAGATTAGCTAAATTTGCATTTTATCTTTTTAAAACTAGCTCTTTGTTTTCTTCATATCTTTTTGTGTGTATATTTCCAGGAAAGCCTGTTGGATGAATTGGAGCCAGAAGTTAAATTACTAATATTTTCTTTTCAATAAACATATATTATAGGGTCTGTGAAGATAGTACAGTGGGTAGGGTATGTGCCTTGCATGCAATTGACCTGGGCGCATTCCCCAGAGCCAGGAATAAGCCCTGAGTATGACAGGGTATATCCTCAAAACAAAACAAAACAACACACTGGTATTTTGGGCTGGAGACAGAGTACAATAAGTAGGGTGCTTTTATTGCCCATGGCTAACCATCCCCAGCAGCCTATGTGGTCCCCTGACCACTGCCATAAGTAGTCCCTGAGCACAAACCTAAAACAAGCATATATATATATATATATATATATATATATATATAATAGTTAAAGTAATGAATTTACAATGTCATTGATATTTATGGTCTTGGCATATTAGGTTACCTTCCCTCACTGCCACCAAAGTGATAAAGACCACCTGACCCATGGTCCATCTGGTCACCTACTCCCTGCTACCTGTCACCCACTCTGGT